TCGGTTTATTCCTGATAGAAAATCCACTCAAGAATCCTTTATTTCTGCTCAGTTTTTTCAAAATCTAATTTTGCTCTGTTCTTCTCCCCCCCCCTCTTTCTCTTGAACATGTTTTTTGCCCAACTAATTTCTAATGGGTGATTGGTTCAAATCATACACAGATATACAAATCTCAAATTACTAATGGATAGAGAAGAGGTACGATTTTGACGTTTGGCATAAATCTTTCTTTTTTACACTTGCATTATTCTATGTGTAGAAAACGTTCAGTTATCCAGTTTCAGAAATCCAAGACTAGCCTAAACACTTTTTTTTTTAAAAAAAGCATAAAACTTTATCTGGACTTTTTCAACATGGTATATGTCAAGGAATCAAACTAAGTGATAAAAGCAGAAAAGGGAAACTCTGTATCACTGAATATTTATGTTGGCAAGAGCTAACAATTTTATAAAAGCAAAACAAACATGGAGACAGTTCATTTAGAAAGAAAGAAAGAAAGAAAGAAAGAAAGAAAGAAAGAAAGAAAGAAAGAAAGAAAGAAAGAAAGAGGCTTCACCCCGTTACATTCCTTGAAATCATATAAATCAGTATTGATATCTCTAACGCTTCAAGCTAGAAGATACAAATGCACTTTTAACCACAGACATTTGATGGCCCTGTGTCAAGGAAGTTTACTGTTGTTGCAGCACCTAATCATCATAAAAATTTCCTGTGAAATAATTATCCCTAAAACAATCAAGACAATGTATTTCAATAAAAGAGAGGATCGATTTCACAACAAACACTTGATTTATCTGTATTGATTAGAGAGGATCCAGTGTAATTTTAGTGAATTATGTCTGCCTTTCATTTCCCAGCAGAAATTTTTCTTGTGATGATCAAAAGACAGATCACAAACTACTACAAGATCTTTTGTGTGCTACCTACATAATATCAAGCTAATTACCTTTCAAAGAAACATTGATGTGCAAATGGACAAAGAATAATTTCTTCTTTATGCTTGGTACCTTGCTGCAAATTCATAGGACTGAGCTTACAGCACTTACCTAAGAGCCTGATGTCATCTTCTCAATTCATTAATACAGAAAATCAGGACTGCACTAAGAGTCAGTGTTAAAGGAACAAATCCAAGATGATCTTAGGAGAGAAGAATTAGAAAGATTAAGAAAGTAATATGATTTTTCTTCTTAAAGAGGGAGTAATTTCAAGAGAATTGTTAACTCTGTAATGCCTGAAACTTTTTAAATAGCAAAAAAATGAAGACTGACTGAATTAGACAGCTATAAAGACAATCCAGTGGTGCTGAATTTTTGATATCGTTGCTAGTACGTGATAACTGAGGGCTAATTGGAACTAAAAAGGCTAGTTATTTTGTCAGACCAAAGTGCATTAGTTCCAGTCAATGTCTTTCTTGTCTTGTGCATTTTTAATCTGCTACAACGGTGATAAAAAAGTCTAACTTTATCTAATAACATCAGGAGAGAACAGATCATCTGGTCATTTTATATTACTCAAAGCATCAGTAATGTAAAAGGTGTCTAATTGCTCATATTTTCATGCAGTGACCAATTAGTATGTTTACTGATATTAAGTATGCACGGCTGGGTATAAATCCACAGGCATCATCTGAATTATCATGAATGCAGCCTTTCATAACCTTTACAGAGGAAAACGACTGAAAACAAAGATTAAATACAATTATTTACTCAATACACCTTATTGTACTTCCAGGGGAAAGTAAGCCCCTTTTTCATATTCTTAGGGAATATGCATTTTCCCACACATTTAAATAATCTTCTTGCTGAATCAAGGAAATCACAATGGTTGTTAAAACCTTGTATGATAAAGGAGCTATGCCTTGGCATTTTATTATTTTGCCTCACATATTCCGATTAATGCATTTGCATTCAAGATGGATTTATTAGCTGTGATCTGCCATATATATATATATATATATATATATATATATATATATATATTCTGTATTCATCTCTCATTTATTTTTGGTGCCTCTGTAAGAATAGTATCCATTTTGTTTATGAGGTTAAGTACTAATATTAACTAATATTAATTAAGATCTCTGAACTAGGGCTAAGAACCAATATTGTAATAAAAAGAGACCGTCAGTCCCCAGAGTGGCTGGGGAAACCCAGCTAGATGGGCAGGGTATAAATATTAAATTATTATTATTATTATTATTATTATTATTATTATTATTATTATTATTATTATACGGATCGTGATGGGGGAAACAGAAGCTTCCAATTATCCTTTAAAACCAAGCACATAATTTGGCCAAAGCGGGTGGGTTAAACCACAGAGCCTAGGACTTGCTGATCAGAAGGTCAGCGGTTCGAATCCCCGCGACGGGGTGAGCTCCCGCTGCTCGGTCCCTGCTCCTGCCAACCTAGCAGCTCGAAAGCACATCAAAGTGCAAGTAGATAAATAGGTACCACTGCGGTGGGAAGGTATACGGCATTTCCGTGCGCTGCTCTGGTTCGCCAGAAGCGGCTTAGTCATGCTGGCCACATGACCTGGAAGCTGTACGCCGGCTCCCTTGGCCAATAAAGCAAGATGAGCGCCGCAACCCCAGAGTCGGCCACGACTGGACCGAATGGTCAGGGGTCCCTTTACCTTTACCTTTTAAAACACATTTAACAAAGCAATCCAAACTATGGAGTAAATTATGCTGGTGTAATTTACCCTCCAAACTCCATTCAGGAGCGGTACTGCTGCCAGTTGAGCTGGCTCGAACCCAGGAGAACCCAGGAGACAGAAAACAAGCCTTTACACCACCCTTTTTGCCAGTGTAAATTCACTGATTTGCACCAGGTCACATGGGCAAGCTGAAGAGTTTGGAATAGGGTTAGCTCTCCCTGATCTGTCGGCACCACACCCAGGGCACTGGCCAATAACGTTTCCTTTTCAAAACTTACCCTGCCCTTGGCTCAGCCAAGTGAGCCCCTATGGCGATCACACAGGATCCCTGGACGTTTCACCATCTATTGATCCCTGTGCCACCACTTTATGTCTCGCTGCCACCACCCAGGCCCCACCTGGTACAATACTGAGCCCAGTCAGGGTTAAATTGGAACATAAACTTCTGTTTATTTCTTGCAATTTAACAAGTGTGTGGTTTCATAAACGGTATCGGTCAATTACAATCATGGGGTGCCTATCCAGACCTATAACTTCCACTACCTGCTCTTATTAAACCACCTCGCAGATATTTACTTGTCTTCCTAGCCCCTAACTATTCCTGACTCAGCTTATTTCGCTACACTAACTCAACCTACCCACAAACTCTATCCCAGTTCACTCCCACTCCAACCAACCACCCAACTCCCAACGAACTCCCCCCTTTGCCCCTCCCAGAGCTCGTTTTATAGTCCCTCTGACTCCACCCCCCTGGGTTCTGATAGGTTAAGCTGTTTAACTATTTCTCCTCCAGCACTCTCATATGTTAACGTCACAGCCCCAACTAAGCCAGGATGGAGAACTTACCCCCAGAGTATCTCCAGCTCAGGTGGAATAAAGGCCAGGCTGGGCCACCCATGAGGTAGGGTGCAGCAACAACCTCAGGCGGCAGGCTCCACGGGGCAGCAGATCCTGATATAGATCATTATTCCTCCCCTCTTGTTCCTGTTGCTGTCCCTTGTTCCTGATGGGGAGGATGCACCATTTAGTGGTAAATCTTGGGTAACCAAAATGTCTTGGGCAGGCCCTGGTTCAGCCAGAGACACTGCCTAGTGCAAACTCTGCTTGTCCCAACTGCCCTTGGGTTTGGGTTGCTTCCCAATTCCCATTCATTTCAAGGAGACAAGTTTAAGCACGTGCTTAACTCTCCTAGTCAAGTCGGTGGGACTCAAAATTGGCTGGATCATTTCCTAAACGGTTCCCTCCCCAGATTTGTGTATTATCAGATTTTATTATTTTTCATTGCTAACTAAAAAGATGTAAAGGCAGCCTTGGACAGCTGGGGGGGGGGGAACGTTGTTGACAACAGTGTTCAGCTCTTTCTTTCTTCTTTTGGTCCAAAGAAAGAAGAAAACTGAATCTGAGCTTAAGAGGGAAGATCATTTCCCTTCGTGTATCTTACTGGATAGCTCAGTTGGTTAGAACATGGTGCTGGTAACGCCAAGGTTGCAGGGGGTTGGACTAGATGATCGTCAGGGTCCCTTCCAACTCTACAATTCTATCATTCCACCTTTCTCCAGAGACTGAAAATACAACCCATTGTCTGTGCACAATAATATAGCTCTATTCGTACATGACAACCCACTGTACGCATAAGAAGCTGCTACAGGATTCAAGCTATGGATCTAAACCAGGCATGGCCAAACTTGGCCCCCATATGTTTTGGGACTACAACTCCCATCGTCCCTAGCTAACAGGACCAGTGGTCAGGGATGATGGGAACTGTAGTCCCAAAACATCTGGAGGGCCAAGTTTGGCCATGCCTGAGTCACAGAACTGGTTGCACAACTAGATCCCACTAGATTCCAAAACTGCAGCAAGAGACTAAAAAAAATGTTGCTTTGCTCATGGTAGTTCCCCTCCCCGCTGTGTTGGGAGGAGAAGTCTTCAGTTCAGTAGTTATCAGCTCCTAATTCCAGTTTTTGGAAAAGAGCTCCAACCATTAAGGACTCAGGGTCCAAATATTTTCCCAACTTAAGCTGATTGCTACACACACACAAACACTTAAATGATATTTTGTTTCAGAAACTTATTCTATACATAAGTATGTGATTTAAACTATTATATTATGAAAGGCTGTCTTATAAACACACTTACAGTCCTAGTCTGTGCTTTTTTTCTAAAAAAAAAAAAAAGTTCATGGGGTACTCTCATTTTGACTCAAGAAAATCACCATTTTATTGTTCACATTGGGAAAAATAAATACGGAAAATGGACATTCACAAAATGTTTAGGGGTCTGCGTACCCCTGCATACCCTCAAGAAAAAAAGCACTGATCCTAGTCACTTGTGAGTCCCACTGACACTAGTGGATTTAGCAGTGTATTATCAGTGGTAAGACTGCACCCCAAAAACAGTACATTTAAAAGAAAACACAGTTGAGACCCTTCTAACGTGTTCTGCCCCATTGCCTTTCATAATGGCTGCTTACCTGGCCACCTTGGGAGCAACGCCGGGGTTAAGCTGTGGGGATTGGAAACAAAATCAAGATCCTGGGTGGCTTTAATGACAAAATAATATTGTCTAGGAAAGGGCTATTATTATGGTAGCTAGAACAAACCTCATACACATGACCTCTTCAAAACAGATCTGTGTACTTTTTTCCTTTTCTTAAATTGCCTTTCCTAAACTAAAATAAAAAGCAGCCACAGATTACTGCTACTTTCTCAAGTTCACTTAAAAGTACAATATATAAGCTTTGTTTTATATAATTAGATTAAAATTGAATCATTACAAGATTTGCATTTTTGTTGCCTAGACTGAAACCTTTTTCTGAAATAGTCAAAGAAGAAAACCAAGCTTTTATCTAGAAAGGGAGTTCTTGAATTTTAATAAACCAATAACAATGTTATTGTTGGACAGGTAATAATTGTCTCCATATAAACTGAAAAATATTGTTTGGGGTGATTAATATACAAAGCTGCATTATGCATTTGGGAGTGTTGATGCATAATTTTTAGTTCTAATGTTATTATGTAATTGAGAGAACATGTTCATTTGCTCTAATAACTACTAAGATGCACTTAATAAAATGAAATGTAATAATACTTGTAATTTAATCTATTCATGGAAGTAATTTTAAAAGTCTACTATTCTCCTTAATGTAGATAACATTCATAATTTATAAAGTGTTGTGATGCCGAATTGACAATGCCATTGTTTTTTCCACTCTGAGATGATTCTGCAGCCTTCATTATCTGCATACCAACCTCAGGATTATCAAGGGCAAACAAAAGATAATTAACACCAGAAATAGGCAAATGCAGAAGCTACTGACTGAGGTTTTTCATTTAATGCAATACCTCAGAAAACCTGGGAAATGGAGTAACTGTTAAAAACCATTTTCCCCAATGCAGAAAAACACTTTTTATGCATATTTAAGTTTGTAGACTTAAAATGATATTTTGGTTCTAAAGATTATTTCTCAAAAGACTAATTGCTATAATCTCTACTTACCACCCGCATTATGCAAGTAGAAAAAAAGAAAGTATTATTCAAAATAGAGAATTTCAATGCTTTACACTGGACTATTGTCTACAGTAGCAGACTCATAGTAAGGACACCTGTGCTCTATATATTTACACATTTGCCCCTTGACGTTTGAAATTATATTTGTTTTTGGGTGCCTCATTTTCCATGAGGAGAAACAGGCCGAACAGAAGAACCTGTAAAGAGTGGTGAGTTCTTGAGTTAAAGCTTATATGAGTGCATGTGTGTGTGGGGGGGGGGGGGTTCTCATCTATTGGCACTAGACAATAAAATAAACGGAAACATGGAAATTCTAAATCTTATAATTATTTGACGTGGGTGCGGTGTTGTAAACAGCCACAGCGCCTAGGGGCTTGCTATCGATAAGTCGGCCGGTTCGATCCCCCCGCGGGGTGCTCTCCCCGAGCTCGTCCACACCTGCAAGACCTAGAGTCTGAAAGCACCCCCGGTGCATAGTAGATAAATAGAACGTCTTACCAGCGGAAAGTAAACCGCCTTTCCGTGTCTGCGTCTGGCTCGCCTAGTATGCAGCTTTGTCATCGCTGGCCACTGACCCGGGAAGTGCTCCGGATCTCAAGCGCTGGCCGCCCGGCTCTGAGTGAGATGGCGCAAACCCCAGAGTCTGCAAGACTGCGCCGTACGGACAAGGCAGAGGTACCTTTTACCCTTTCCTTTATAATTTATTTGAGGAAAGTATAAATAAAACTTGAACACAACTTAGTTCTCAGTTATGGTATGACCTAGAAAGCTCATGCAAATTCGGACAAGAATAAGAGGAAGCCGTTGTGCTTACCACCATCTTCCAATTGCAACTTGACTAAATACAAGTATTACCTGTATTTCACATGGGGGTTCCATTCCTGTCCCTCCGAAGAGCCTCGTCCCATTTCGTCCCACCCTCTTCCAGGACTTACACGTCACAATTGCGTGTCAACTGTACTCGCTTGCATGAGTAATTCCTTATTGTAGTACCTTGTTTACTCCTGCTCTGGACTGCATTATATCGCTTGAGCTGCTCTGGATAGAGAATTGCAAGTTGTCTTGGATGGCATTTCACTCCCCGTAAGATAGAAAGTTCACCTCTTTGGAGTACTTCTGGATTTGGCACAAACTAGTTAGGGACGCGGGTGGCGCTGTGGGTTAAACCACAGAGCCTAGGACTTGCCGATCAGAAGGTCTGCGGTTCAAATCCCCGCGACGGTGTGAGCTCCCGTTGTTCGGTCCCTGCTCCTGCCAACCTAGCAGTTCAAAAGCACGTCAAAGTGCAAGTAGATAAATAGGTACTTGGTAAACGGCAGGAAGGTAAACGGCGTTTCCGCGCGCTGCTCTGGTTCGCCAGAAGCGGCTTAGTCATGCTGGCCACATGACCTGGAAGCTGTACACCGGTTCCCTCGGCCAATAAAGCGAGATGAGCGCAGCAACCCCAGAGTGGGCCATGACTGGACCTAATGGTCAGGGGTCCCTTTACCTTTTTAATAAGCAGCTGGGGCCACAAGAACATTCATCAGCTTAATCTGATATGCCAGTTTGTTTCTTTATAAAGTTTGTGGAGCTCTTTTCACCACTGCTGTGGACCCAAAGCAGTTTCTAACACAAGATGAACACCACAGCGCTTAAAACAAAACGGCAGCTAAGACACAAATTAGCAGCAGCAGAATAATAATAATACATAGAATCCTGCATTACACAGCAGGCTCAGCCAAACCCTCCGAAGCCTGGAAAAACAGATGTGTTTTAATTAAGCAACAGAGGCTCACCAGTGATGTCGCCATCTGTGCCTCACCTAGACAGAGCGGACCTTGCCAGTTGCCAGTCTTCTAGTGAGACCCAGACTGGACTACTGCAACATGTTGTGTGTGAGGCTGCCTTTAACAATCATTCAGAAATTGTTTATACCTTCAGCTGGTACACAAGGCAGACTTCTGTTAAGCAAACAGAAGATATTGCACCAGGTTAGTACCAGTTGTTTCTGGACCCAATTTAAAGCGCTGATTATGAAAGCTTGGGACCAGGTTAATTAAAGCACCATCTACACCTGTACAAAACTGAATATTAAGGTATGTATTTGAAGCCCTGTCAAGATGCCTGCCAGCACAGGAAACTGAACTGGCAAAAACAAAGCCCATGGTGGCCCAACAATCGTGAAATACAATCTCTAGAGATATTAAGATGGCCCCAGTCTTGGATATTCTCAAACAGGCCTTTTTACATTGACTTACAGCCACTCTGGCTGGGGATCTGATAGTGTGCTCTGGATCTGGTGGCTGTACTTTTTAATGTTGGACTGCACTTGGTTGTTAATTTTAATAATATGGGGATACACTGAAATGACTGAGATGGTATTAAATCATATTCATTTATTGTCGTACTTTGATATAAGACCCTTTGGAAGAATTTTATTATTGAAGGGTGGTATAGCAATTGAATGAATAAATGTATGTTTTGAAATTGATTGAAGTGAATGAAGACAAAATATAACAATTATTTGCATAAAATATATATTTGGGCCAGTGAAACATCACAGACAAATCAAAACCAGTTAATTGACCATATATAACATGGATTTAAAGGGAATGGAAGCAGAACTCTTAATAGACAAAACAGTTACTGCTTACAGAAATGATATTAACATTGCTATGTCAAATATTAAACCACAGCTTCTCAGGCTCAGTTTCCGGATTGTAACATGAATAGTAGTGGCTCCTTGCCGAACTTGTTTTGAATTAGCGAGGTTAGGTAATACTGTATAAAACAGTAATATTGTATATAGAACCCGCAATGCACAAGACCATGTATATGAAGTTATAATGGTTGTGAAACAGCAAATATCTGCAAATACTTCCTGCTTCTCTGTGAATAATGGGAACTCTATGTATTTGCTCTTCTCCAAATCCCACCTATCATGGGATAGAGTTGCCAACTGGCCAAGAAAAAAACCAAAGCTGGCCTGTTCCTGAGCCTTTAGAAGCAGCTCGAGGTGCAGAAATCAGCAGGGACAAATAAACATGATCACTTCCTTCTACCAGAGCCTCAACAACTGACTTGGTTAGAGCGTGGTACTGATAATGCCAAGGTTGCAGGTTCAATCCCTGTATGGGACAGCTGCGTATTCCTGCATTGCAGGAGTTGGACTAGATGATCCTCAGGGTCCCTTCCAACTCTACAATTATATTAT